TACATATATGTTGACGTTTACGAAATGTTTTTCAAATATCTTCCCTATAACAGGAATATGGAAGCTGAAACTTTCACACATTGTCATACTATGTATATTGAATATGTATGCACGATTTCAAGTCACTATGTTAAGTAGAAACTCTGAGATCACTCACTTCGATTTGCTGTCATATTTTTGCAATGATCCCATTCCCTATAATGTACGCGAGTACCCACGATACATTGCATATAAATGACTGCATCCACATAGATCGACTAGCCACAGTGTTCCAACCAACCTGTAAAGTGCCAAATTCACGTCTTGCCGCTCGTGTAAAATGAATGAGACCGTGAAATAAATAGTACATAGTTATGTAATACTGATCTCACTCACAATCTTTCGCGTACAGGTTCACAACAAGACGACAAAAACGCCCGGCGCTATTGAATTTACACGTCAACAGGATTATAAAACAAGTCAGACGTGTCGAATGGAGCATAAAGTTACATGATTTGTTGAGCGCGCATCATGTTTCACGTACAGGTACAGGTTACTATTTGGTGCAATCTTAAGGTCTCTATTACATGTGCCTGACTGCATCCACATAGATCGATTTGCCACAGTGTACTAAGAATCAACCCTGAAAATTAGAAATTGATCTAACAAACGGTTCACCTGGAAATGCGTAGACAAGACTTTACAGACAAGATTTTAGGACAGAAAAATCCAAAATGGCCGACAATAAAAAAGTGATGATGAGTTTTTGCTGATTTCTTCTTACAAAATTATCACATATAACTACTGTTAACAATAACATAGGCTATTACAACAAGGTACACCTGAAATTATTTATAAAGCTACTAAATAGTTAAAGTATGAAAACTGAAAAACACCATTCAATATGATACAAAGTATTATCGCGCGCTAACCTAATCAGATGTAGAATGAAGTGAGCTGAATAGAACAAGATATTAAAGTTTTAAAAGCAACTGTGAAGCCGTTTTTCTTAAAGTTTGCAGACAATGATTTTAGCATTTGACTTCAAAATGGCCGACAGGAAGTAGGTATCGAGTTAATTTTTTTTTTCATCCACATCATTTGTATGCACTCATAAGTTATCCCTGAAAATTTGAAGGTGATATCTGTAGCGGTTTTGGAGAAAACTGCCGGACGGACGGACCAACGGACGGACGGACGCCTGGTCGATCCCATAGGCTCACTGTGTGAGCCAAAAATACATGATATAATAGTTTGTTTCTCAAATGGCGGGAAATTCAAATATCCAATACTTCCAGCGTTACATTACCGTTGTCTTTCTAGATACCGTTGTCAAATATTGCCGTTGTCATTCCCAATTACAGCATATTTGACCCACATTTACCGTTGTAATTTATACAGTATCCGTTGTCCCTGTCATATATTGATTGGTTGAATTAAAGCTTAAACATTTCGATAGTAGAATATTACAATGAGTATGAAGACATACATTATGGCAATGTCTATACTTTCTATACATTGTCTATACTTTCTATACTTTCGATCTCCTTTTTCATACTATCTGCCTTCGACGTTTCTATACTTTCTATACTTTCGAACTGCTTTTTCATACCAACTGCCTTTGGAAAATCAGATGTCTATAGTTTCTATACTTTCGAAATGCCCTTTCATACTAACTGCCTTTGACAAAGCAGATGTCTATCTGCTATTTCCCAGAACTGTCTTCGACATATCAGATGTCTATACTTTCTATACTTTCGATCTGCTTTTTCCCATAACTGTCTTAGACAAATCAGATGTCTATAGTTTCTATACTTTCTATACTTTCTATCTGCTATTTCCCAGAACTGTCTTCGACAAATCAGATATCTACAGTTTCAATACTTTCTATCTGCTTTTCACAAAACTGTCTTTGACAAATTAGATGTCTATAGTTTCTATACTTTCTATCTGCTATTTCCCAGAACTGTATTCGACATATCAGATGCATTCGATCTGCTTTTTCCCAGAAATGTCTTAGACAAATCAAATGTCTATAGTTTCTATACTTTCGATCTGCTTTTCCCCATAACTGTCTTCTACAAATCAGATGTCTATAGTTTCTCTAGTTTCTATACTTTCGATCTGCTTTTCCCCATAACTGTCTTCGACAAATCAAATGTCTATAGTTTCTATACTTTCTATACTTTCGATCTGCTTTTCCCCATAACTGTCTTCGACAAATCAGATGTCTATAGTTTCTATACTTTCTATCTGCTTTTCCCCATAACTGTCTGTTTTTTGCAATACATTGAGGCAATTCACCAAAATCGAAAGTGACCAAGAAACTTATGACGTCACATATTTTTTTACGATGTATAGAAAGTATCGAAAGTATAGAAAGTATAGACATAGGGATTTCACCAAAATGTAAAGTATAGAAAGTATCGAAAGTATAGACATAGGGAATTCACCAAAATCAAAAGTATATACAGTATAGAAAGTATAGACATGTATAGACTTTAGAGAGTCCAATCGTCTAAGACTGAAAAAAGTATCATTAAAAAAAGCAGTTCGAAAGTATAGAAAGTATAGAATATGCCATAATTTTGGATATACATGTTATTGATTGTTGTACCAAAGGAATTTATTCTAGATGCCCTGAGGAAGGTGTAAATTCAACACTACGCCAAAAAATGAAACAATTGTCAAATCCTCTATATCAAAACGCCTAATTTATAAAATGTCATTTTATGGCAATACCTTTCTAATGCACTTAGAATATTCGAATGTTTTTCATCATATAAAATCACCATGGAAAGCCGATCTTTTAAATCTCGACACAACTCATTTTCACTTTTCTAATGTTAATGTTATTTTTCTCGAATGATAAAGATGACTTTCCAGATAACAATGAGAGATTTTTAACCATTTCTTAATAGTTGAATTTAGGTCTTATTATTGTCTGATTCCATTGTGTATCGTGCAATACGACAATACAGACTAAAGAAACTACTATGATAAATCTATTTAAAGAAGAAACCTATCCGTGCGAAGGTATTCATCGAGTAGTTAGTCCATGGTATGACTTCCGAATATGGAGGATCCGTAGCACACTCTAGCGCAGCAACATTTGAAGCAATATTTATGAAGGTGTACATGTCTTGATTCTTTTAAAATACCATTTGCTGAAAAAACTTCCGGCTTTCGGGTCGAAAAATGTCTTTCATCACAAGGGGTCAAAAAACGTAAATATTTTGATCCGAACTTTTATACATTTTATAAGACATAGAACGTTATTCTAAGCATACGAACAAAAATAAATTATCATAATCTAAAAATATTCTATTTACTTACCGTAGATGTCGGTATTTATTTAGTGTAATATGCAAGTGTGTTTTTCAGATTTTGTTTGATTTTTCAAATATGAGCCAAGCCGATTCAACAAAATTATGTGGAATATTTAGGTAATTTATGATTGGGAACATATTAATTTTTATAACCATTTAAAACATTTTATTACCAGAATTTTTCCACATAATCGCAAGGGGTCTAACAACAAATTATTGTTCATGTTTTACAAAACATAATATAATAACAAATAGGTAAGATTTATATCTAATTAAATGTTACAGAGGTATTGGCATGGAATGTTCATATATTCCAAGGGTATGTCTAATAATCAATTAGAGTCATATGCAATCGAACGCCCCGAAATTCTTCCTCGACGTTACTTGTGGCTATCGTTTTCTGATGGCTGTTTGGTTTTTGACCTTACCGCTGGATACAATCAAATTTTAGGAAGATAATGGATTTTTCTCAATTATTCATGAATTCAATCAAGTCTTGATGGTTGTTTTATAAGCAACTGAGCTATATCTAACTACGGGAAATATAATTTTAGCTGTAGTCCCAATTAGTCAAGGAAGAGCAATAGGCCCGCCTTTATTGATAATTTTCACCGCTGAATAAAAGTTCATATCTCAAAACGTATTGAGACCCCTTTTGTGAAAAACTAGCATAATTTAAACATTTGTCATTCCAATATAAATGTGATTCATTTGTAGCATTTATCTTATTAATACCTGAGAAACAATACAAAACGTCGATACACTGAAAACATATTTTTGGATATTGATGAGAAAAAAACATCAAACTCATAGCTTAGAAACCTAAATCATATATTTGAAATCATTTTTTATTATTTTCTGTTGCATTGTGTACTCCAAATTGTGAAAAATTGGGATTTTATTTTTTGGTGATTTTTTGACCTCTGTTAATGGCAGGCATAATTCAGCCTAAAAGTATTGAACGGTTATAATAAAAATTATTAGGGGACATATGTAGGTATGTTAATGTAAGGTCAAATATCGCTGCGCTATAGTGTGCTACCAACTTCTTTATTAGACGTCCTAGAGATTTCATACCATGGACTAAGTAGTAATAAACTGTTTTTATCTTTTTCGTAAAGAGAACGCGATTCACGAATATTTGGCGAAATAGTACCTTACTTTTAAAATGCATAAGATAGTCAATAGTGGTTCGATTTTAATGAAATCTGTTCAATAATTATTTACCAAAAAGAGCGATAATGATTACTTTTCTACAGTATTAGAAACAAGGTACATAACTTTCAATATTTTTAAACTAATTCAATATTTCATGAATTAAATTTTTCAAAAAGTGTCATTTATCTGCGGCCCAGGTTAGAAAATAACAGAGGCTCAAAACCTTGCAAAAGAGTAATATTGAAAAATCGATCAAATCATATGGTATCAAAAAACATTTCTTTAGGCTAGTGTGCTCGAGATTACTTTTACAATTTATCAACAATGAGAAAATATGACTAAAGAACATAAGAAAATTAATAAGCATTTTTTATTCTCACTTTTCAACACTATGCACTTGCGTCTTGGCGTTTTGTTCCAACGCCACTGTAAAATACAGTTCATGAAATCGAATTGAATCGACAGATATGTCCGCCATTTGTGACAAAGGTTGTCAGGGTAATCAGGTGTGATATTTGAATTGAATTGAATTGTTTAGAATGTTGTGTCATAATAGTCATGTTTTGAAGATGTGTGGAAATCTGATGAGAACTCAAGTCTGTTTTTATCATTCAATTCACATTGCCTCTCATACTTCTGTGTATTATCTATGTTGAAGGAACGACATGCAGTGTCTTGGTGACAGACAATGGCACAGTGGGCCAACCCATGTGCCGTCAATGTATGGTATGTATGAGACACCAGCTTTTTTTCTCTGTGGGCTTTGAACAATGTTCCTGAAAAGAGAAGCACATTCTGAGAAAAAATTTGGAGTGGATGTAAATAATAAAATGAAAAATATGCACATTTTTATTCATTTTCTATTTTCTACTTCATTGTGGTAGCATATATTTGTATTCTAAAAACAGCTTAGTCAACATTATTGTTTCAATAAGTCTGGAATTGAACAAGCTTTATACGTAGTATGATATATAGCACATGGGGGGCGGTCATTATGAAACACTCTGTCCCTGTATAACCTCTTTTTAAGGTGTAGAATAACACATACAGGGTGTCCCGAAAGTTTGCCCCCCCCCCCCCCCCCTATGCAGACATAAAGTTCAATTTTACACCACATTACTAGTCAATGTGTCCCCCCCCCCCCCTTGGTCATGTTAACATCATCAATTATTTTCAGATATGACCTTAAAAGCCCTTCAAATAGGGGTGTGGAATTTTATAACCCTCTTAAAACCAGTTAAGGGACTTTAGAAGAGTTTCCTTAGAGTTTCTACCCTCATCGTTCTCTTTTTCCAACTCAATATCCCTCTGACCCGAAAAGAATTCCTGCTGTTAAGATGGCCCGGGATGACACATTGACTAGTGATTTGGTGTAAAATTGAACTTAATTTTGACCAAACACTAAATTTTGAAATGCCTGTAATTTTGTCACATTTGAGAGTTGAACCATGATACTTGGCGAATCAATTGCTGGAATTACACATGGCGTTTTACAAAAGCGTCTTCGGTTTTAACCAGGTTTAAGAATTAGGTGTAATCACGATTGCGGTTTTACAAAAGCGCTTTTCTAAAACTCCAAGAACCCTTGTCACTAGTAAACGGCATAAGTCGTTAGGCGTTTTAAGTGTGCAGTGTAATACCGATCGGTTTTTGTAAGAAGCCTTACCCGGGTTTTAACTAGTTTTTAACACTTGCCCCGAACGAAATATTTGATACATTTGATACATGATGAGCCATCCTGTCACGCTGCTATCTGGCTATATCTACATTGAAAAATGGATGATGGTCGCCAGGTCACATCGAAATCAAGTGTTATCTTCAGAGAATATGTACATATTTTTCTTTTACCTTTTTATTATGTTTTCTCATAATTAATAACAGATAAATAAAAAGTATGCAATGTCATGTATTTCTAATCAAATTATGGAAGATTAGTTTTGTCTTAGATGCAAAAAGGATACATTTACAGGAGATGTACACTTACATGTATGCTGGATATTATCAATAACTACATCGTTAAAAGTGCACGAAAGGCGTTTTAGAAAAAACAGGTGTAATTCCAAAATATAAATCTTAAGACGCTTTAGAAATGTTGGTGTAATCAGAATGGCGATTTTGTAAAGCGCCTTCCACTAAAACGTTTTAGCGGATTTTGTGGTGTAATTCCAGCAAATGAAACCTTGGATAAGCTTCAAAATGATGTATAGCATATACTATGACGACACTAGCATGTGTCTGCCTAGGGGGGGCCATACTTTCGGGACACCCTGTACATCCCTTCTATTCAGTACCTACAAAAGCCATAATCACGGGATGCCATCTATGGAATTTATTTTGTATCAAAATTGAACAATACACAATCCATGTGAAAATTCGAACCATATGATGCGACACTCGAACTATATGATTTGAAACTCGCATCATAATAATCTTATATAACAATAGTTAATTTTCTCATATAACTTAATTTCATTCACACACGCGCACTGGCTCTATCAAGTGTCACACATAGAGTTACACCAAGCAGGGCGTTACCATACCCGGTAATTAATAGCCTCATATCAAGAATATCACGTCATTTTACCACGTGCTTTTTTGATTGTTTATGTGAATAATTACATGACGTCACATCTCGATTATCCAATCACGTCAATGGTATATTAGTCAATTTCCCCGGGAATTCGACTTTAATACGCTTTTCGTCTGGTGTACCAAGATTGGGCGCAATATTTGAACATTTTAGAATTATAGGGCTATGAAACTCCGTGCTAGAAAGCACGTATATTACGAAGAAGAAAGTGATTCTCCCAGAGAGAGACGGCTACCAAGCCGCTGTTACCTTTCGGGAACGTTTTATCTGGAAAGAGTCATTTCAAAGGTAAAAATAGGTTAAATACTGTCAAATAAAGTGAGCACGTCCGATGTGACCCAGGCATCACCAATGCCTTAGGGGTGAAGTTGTGTTGATATATTGAATTGAAATCTTTAAATGAATTATATTATCTTGGTAATTAAAAATAAAGAAAATAAAATTAAGACATCCTGTAACAATCTATTGATTTAATAAGACTTTGGAAAAATGTACGTACATGACACTTGATTGTATTGAAAACAAGACTATAACCAGAATTGTAAAGTTAGCTCATTTCAAATGACGAATCGCCAAATAAAAACGGACATCGTAATTAGCAATTTTCAACGTTAAGGCTGCTATGTTATACTCGGGGTGGAAGGTGTGAGAATTGTGCAAAAAATGACTTTGTGAGCTGGATGGAGTTTCTCTGTATTTTTCATTCTATTAGGAATGGTGGGGCAGTTATCTTCTTCAAAGTCCTCTGGAAATTCCGGTAATTGGCTAGTATAGAGACTCGAGTAAGTGGGAAGTAGAATAAAGGATGGACGGTGCCAGGGGATTGGTGGCCCTACCAGTCCCACCAATTCACAAGCATACACATAAGAGACAAACACACCCAGGCTCCAGGCCGTGGATGGAAATATAAAACTATTTAAAGGGTGACGCATATCGTTTAGCAAATCGAACGCTCGTTTCTGGTGTTGCTCACCGTTTATATAAAAGGCCCGATCCCGGAATAATACTCAAGGGTTCACAGGTTCGAGGTCGTTGTGTCAACACCTCTAACTGTTATATAGCATAAGTATATTATAGATCGTCACACATTTATAAAAGGGTGATTTTTATTTTGACAAATCAATTCCACATTTATGGGTGAAGTTTCAGGATCTTCTATTTGTGTATAATCACTGTGGCTAGTCGATCTATGTGGATGCAGTCATTTATATGCAATGTATCGTGGGTACTCGCGTACATTATAGGGAATGGGATCATTGCAAAAATATGACAGCAAATCGAGGTAAGTGATCTCAGAGTTTCTACTTAACATTGTGACTTGAAATCTTGCATACATATTAAATATGCATAGTATGACAATGTGTGAAAGTTTCAGCTACCATATACCTTTTATAGGGACGATATTTGAAAAACATTTCATAAACGTCAACATATATGTATAAAATGGATACCACTATGTATCATTTGGATTCAGAACGGTAACAAATGGATGCTATAATAGATTATACTTTTATCATGATGATTTATTTAGTGATGGACAACTGGCCAGATTTTCTTTGTATCCAATGTTGGGATAAACATTCCTCATTCAGTAAAGTAATTAGCCACACCATTACAAGACATACTCATGAAGAAAATACTATATATAAACCCATCAACTGGAAAATGCCATTACACACCCAAATTCAAAAAAATGTCCCAATTGATGTCGCCGTATGTTATCTCGGAAAATATTAGTGGTGTATCTTTAATTTCTGTATATATTTCATCAATAACCTCAAGGCCATATGTGAACATTCATTTTTGAATGAGAATTTCATAAATGTATTTTTACCAGGGCTCTAAAGTGCCAAAATGAATCATTCGTTACTGTCACCGTTTTGAATTTTGATTTTCAAGTCGTGTTTACCGGCATTTATTATCACATTTTATTCGATTTCCAAACTAATTTACTTCGCCACCACATGTTTCTAAGAGAAAATGATAAACAAAACCCATCTTGAACGATAAATTATTTTGTACAGCCTTTATAAGGGGTGTCGCCAGTTTCAGGAAATACAGAAAAATCATCGTTACTTGGTTCATTCATTCAAATCATATGAGTCTGGAATTGAGATAAGAAATGAAAGAAAATGTAATTTTGAAAGATTGTTTATGTTTTCAATAGAGAACATGCGTCAAGTCCGAGGTGTGTCTGCATTTTTTCACATTTGCTTGTAAAAATAACCCAGTGCCTTGAGTTCGTTTTAAGAAAAGATGTTCGTTACCATCAGAAAAACGTGTTAGATCACTTGGCATAAGCTTTTACTCTTTCCATAAAATGATATTAAACAAACAATAGAAATCAACTACTTGGAGTTTGTGTAGCCCTCTTGCAATAAGCAAAAAGTCCAATTAACCACATGTTCGAAATCAGTGTTACTGTATTATTCGTCACCATGAACACGAAACTTATAACTTCTTGCTAAAATGCAGCATTATTATTGGTTTTAGATTTATGACGTAAGTGTGTTAGAGTCTGTCGTTGCTTAAAAATTGGATGTTGCACTTCTGCCGCATGAAAATTCACACATATAAGAAAATATCCATCACAGACGAGATCTGATGAAATTTACTTATTTTGCCGATCGTACAGAATATCCATACACAAAACTAAGTTTAACTTATGATAAAATAGTTTAATATTGCATAAAACTAGCTTGGTTGTATTTTTGATAGCTTATGAATTCGATAACACTTGATACAATTGGTGAATTCATCGTTATGTATGTAACAATGAATTCAATTATCTGTGTTAGGATTTTAAACATATGTGGCATTGGAATTTTTGTTCACAACTGATTTCCATCAAAACTAGAGGATCTGATCTGCATTAGTTAACATTCAAAAAGGTCAAAATTCGCATATTTACGTTTAAATCGTATTAATTCATGACTCATACATCAAATTAGTTATGGAACGAATAATTATGATACACTAAGCCCGGGGATATAAAGAGTTTGCTTTATTCATAAAATATTATAAATGTTAAAAACATTTGAATTCAAAATAATGCTAAAGAAATGCTGAAACCAAATGTATAGGTTTTCAACCATACAAATCCTTTGAATAGTAAATTTTAGCAGATAAAAAAGACTGGAGCAGAAGACAAAATGTACAGTAGCGTTTGAAAGCAAAAGACAATAA